AAAATTCATATTGAATTTGATAGGAGCAGGATCAAGCACCTTCAGTTCCCACTGGATCTAGTGCTGCAAGGTGCTGAACACCCTCACTTTCTATTGGATTGTGGGTGTTCAGTGTCTCTCAGGAGTTGCCCCTAAATTGGGGATTATTCATGCCCCCATACCACTTTTACATTACATGGGGGAAAGAGTGCAAGAGTTCAGGATTTTCATGAAATCGCACCAAAAAGAAGCTCTCACAAAGCAACCACATGGGCCCGGTGTTGTGCAAGGCTTTATACTTGCTCATATCCTGCTAAAGACCCTGGGATTTGTGTGGCTCACACCCTAAAAAACACCCTTTCAAATGACTCCCACTGAAGTCAATGGCAAAACTCCCAGAGACTTCAATACTGCAGGATTGTATCCTAAATAAGCTCATTTGGGAGGCATGTTAGTTTTGGCAATGTGGGGAGGGTGGGACTCGGGTGACCTGGGGTTTATTCCTGGCTCTGCCACAGACATGCTGGGTGACCTTGAGCAAGTCACTTCAGCTCTATGCATCAAGTGGAGCTCATCCGCTGTGTCAGGAAGACCACCTTGGAGAAAGGTGTTAGAGAGCTTATTTCTTCACTCTCCCACTTCCCTGGTCCTTCTCGCATAAATAGAGAGCAACAATACTCAAAGTCCGAAGGTGCAAACAAATGAAAACCTTCAGATCTGGCCTGCGAGTTTGTAAAAGTTGTGCCAATCACATATGCTCATGGGTCTGCTCCGCCAACCCCAGCTACCGGGATAAGCTTTGGCTATATTTTGGGCTAACGACCCAAGCATTAGTTTTGGCGATGTGTGGGACACTAGAGTCATATAGAGTTTAAGGCCAGAAGGGACCCACAGACCATCTGGTCTGACCTCCTGTATATCACAGGCCACCAACAACACCCAGCACCGAAGGGAGACTGCTCCTGCCCCCAGCAGCTTATAATCCATGAAATAGGTTTAATCTTCTCTACATTTCCTCTTTGTTTAGCATTGACTGGGCCTTCCACAAAGGCTGTTGAAGTCAGTGCAAAGAATCCCCTTCACTTCAGTGAGCTTTGGATCGAGCCTATGCTGAGCATACAAAGCTCCTGGTCTGTGCCCAGAACTGGGTCGATGTTAATGGGAGCAGAGGACTGTGGGATCAGACCCTGAAAATGTGCCCTCTTTTGGAATAAGTCACATGCTTAACTTTGAATTATTTTAGGGTTATAATGGCAACAAACCCTAAAACTTGTGAAGCTGCCACTGGAACACTGAGGGGTTTTTTTGTTTTTTTTTTTGGCCATTTCACAAAATTTTCAGAATGCCCAAATCCTCCCATTTCATTTGCTCTGCAATGTGCTCCATACAGCTCTCTGCATGGGATGCAAAGTATTTGCTCCATGCTGCACTGCATCCCAGTGAAGCAAAAATCATTCCTTGCTGACTGGTACCCTGCTGACATCCCATTTCTGTTAATTAGGACCCTGAGTATTTAGCACAAAATATAAATGTGGCAGGATTCCAAGCTGCAGAAAGGAGGGAAAGGGGGGAAATGGTTGGACAGCTAAGGGGATATGTAAATGTATTTAAAATAGATGATTCTAGCTGCAGTGAACAGATGATTTTTTTTTGTATTCCGACTGGATGGCTTTAATCAAAAATGATAGTTCATACATCTGCTCTTTGAAGATAAGCCTGCAGTTACACAAATCACTTAAAGAAAGAGTCTGTGGTGTGCTGATGAGACCTTAAAAAGTCTAACCCATGACTAGGACGATTATAGTCTGGATACTTCAGCAAGTTGCTAATTCTGAAATATTAGGCTGAGTTATATGTCCTGTCTGAGACATGAAAGTGAAGCCTGTAGATTGTGCTAAAGCAATTAAGATGTTTTACAAATCATTAGAGAACTTTCTTGATTTAATAGGGACTTACCCCCCCTCCCCTTCCCAACTTTTCTCAAAATGTTTGACCTAGAAAGGCAGCTTTCCATCATCTTGACATTTATTTTATAACAGAAGGTGGAGATTATAAATTAAAGCGAGCCAGCTTTAGGGGGATGCAGGGCTCCTCTGGAAGCTGCAGACTTAAATTTAGGATGATACTAGAAAGTATTTACCTTTAGAAAGATTAACTGAAATAGATTGATAGAACTCAGATGCAATCTCAGGAGAAACAGGTTCAGAACATATAGAAGAAATCCATTCTTCGAAGCCAAAAGAAAAAGGAAACACACATTCATCTTGTTTCATTTCCATTTTGATTTGAACTCATTAGAATCAATATTTTTAAAAAAAATAATGAGTGAATACCTCGCTTTATTTCATCAGGCCCATATGTTCATTGTCCATGTAAAGTCGCACAGGGAGGAGCGAATTAGACAGAGACTTTGGTGGCTTTGAATGTGAAGCACTTGGACTATAGAGTCACCAACAACGCTGTGGATTTGGGGCCTGATCCAAAGCCTATTGAAGTCAGTGGAAAGGCTCCCATTAACTTCACTGGGCTTTGGATCAGGCCCTTGGTGAGAATGTGGTAATGGTGTGGCACGTAGCTGCTGAAGAGATCAAAAGCTGAGGATCAGAAGAAAAAGATGGGTCCTTCCTCTGCTTATCCTTGGACAGATGTGGTGTTTTTCTCCTTCCATGCCATTTTATGTCCCCTATTCCCTAGCATAGCAATGCAGCACAAGAACTGTGTTGGCTATACTGCCTTTGACTCTTTACTGCCCTTTCTGACCCTGGTGATGGGGTCAGGGTGCATTGGTCCCAGAGGCTATGTTAACACCATTTCCAGCAGCATTCAATCATCTTCCGTTTTCACATGGACTTTTCTCTGCATAGACAGGGGGATGTGTTTGTGGAGCAGCTCTTTCCCAGGACTCTGGCCACACCTACTTTATTTCTTGCAGGCCTATTGGTGAGGTGAAACAATCTATTTTTTAACCGCCAAGTTAAGGTGAGGGCTTCTGGCCTTGTTGGGCATCTTTCCCTCCGAGTCAGAATGGTGGCTGAGCAGATGCTACTGGGTTCAGTTTGCTTGGGATTGTAAGATTCTCTTTGGGTTTTGGATGCACATGAACCTGAAATCTGGCCCCCACTGACTGTCAAAGGAGGGACACTGTGAAACTTGTTAAGCCACTCCTTCATTACTTGAGGCCTCTCCTAGGAGCAGGGCTGGAGCAAGGATATTTTGCGCCCTAGACGAAACTTCCACCTTGCGCCTCCCCCCAGAGCATCGCTTATTATAAACTTTCAAAAATTAATACTGCATAATATGGCATTGCTCATTAGAATTAATACATATTCGGCTTGAAAATTTATTAATTTCATTATTTAGACTACATATTTAATGAAAATAAATGAATAAACTGACAGGCTGTGGGGCTGGCTGGCTTGGAGCAGAGGGGTGCAGCAGGGGTTGGCTGGAGACGGCGGGGTGGTGGGGCTGGCTGGCTTCAGGCAGGGCAGGGGATGCGGAGCTGGTTGGAGATGAGGTGTGGGGCTGGCTGGCTTCGGGGAGGGGGTGCAGCAGGGGCTGGCTGGAGACAGGGTGGCGGGTACCAGGGCCATCCCTAGATATTCTGGGGCCCTACGCAGCCCCCCCGTGGGGGGGTGTGTGTGTGCTCCAGGCCTCTGTGGGGGGGTAGGCTTCCATGGGGAGCAGGCCTCCATAGGGTCGGGGCTGGCTTGGGAGGCAGGGGGGAACCATCCCCCAGCAATCACCGGTGGTGCGGCTGGGGCCAGGTCGCTGCACTTCCTGCCGCCGGTGAGTGCAGCCCTGGCCCTGCTGCAGAGCTCAGGGGAGTGGGGGTGGGGCGGGGCTGAGCAGGGGCGGGGCCCTGGGGAAGAGCCAGAGCAGCAGGGAGCAGTGCAGCGCCCCCGGTGGCCAGAGGAGGAATGACATCACTTCCCGACCGGCCGGTGGCCAGCCGGCCGGAGCTGATCAAAGCCGCAATGCCCCCTCGCACAGCTGCGGGAAGAGGGTTACACATTTAGCCGGCGCCGGGTGAGCATCCCAGACATTTTGGGCGCCGCTTTTTGACACCCTCAAATCTTGGCGCCGTAGGCGGCTGCCTAGTTTGCCTAGTGGATGCACCGGCCCTGCCGAGGAGAAATGGGAGGCATTGTGGCCTGCAGTGCAATCTCCTTCTTTAGGATCTCCAGCATGTGGCAGATTGGGGCAGTTAACCACATCTGGCGTCTTTGTGGAACCAGCTAAGCAGGCCTGTTTCTCTTCTACTTGTACCATCTCATCACTGGTATCTTCCGGAGGCAGGTCCGCCTGCCTCCCTCATCCCCTGTTCAGCAGCATCTTGGAGGATCACAAACACCTTTCTGCTGCTGACCGCCTATGCCTCACTCTGCGACCTAAGGTGTCCAAAAAGCGTACTGTGCAGCTAGGAATTCCCAGAGGTTCCCTGTTCTCACGAGCCTCCTAGCTGATAGTAACTGAAACTACTGATGGCCAGGGCAGAGAGGGTTCAGCTGAGGCTGGGGAAGGTGGAGAAGGAAAAGGAAAGAGTGGGGGAAATGTATTAAAAATCTTCAGAAAATGTTATTAAAATCCACTCAGTGGTTTAGGTTGGGTTTTTTATTAATTATTATTATTATTCCCTGGATGCAGCTCTGAATGTTGTGAGCTTTTTTGACTGTATTTCCCTGTGGTCCAACAATAGGTGTCTACAGCAACTAGCATTAGACTTGGGCTGAGATTTTTCATTTCCTTGCTGCAAGCTGCAGTAACTGCAAAAAGCATTGAGGAGCTCCATAGAACCACTATACAATGGCTAAAGCTCTTTAACTATTATACGGTCCTAGAGAGGATATTTTTATAGCTATGGACCATTATAAATTCTCTAGCTGATGAGCCTTACATTGAATTTTTTGTCCACACTCTAAACTGTAATTGCTTAATAATTAATTCTCCTGCTATGGTGAAATAAGTAACTGGAATGTGTCGATATTGTTTACAACCTGGGATCGTTCTTCCTCTTTCAGGCCCAAGTCTGCACAGCCATGAGCGTCTTCAACTCTATCTCAAAAGGCTCTCAGCACCTTACAGGATGGAACCCCCTCTTCGAGTCAGTTCAGTTTGCAGAGATTTGGGAGCTGGATGTCTTGGTGTGATGCTGTTTGGTTTCTACTTTCATGGGTCTCATCTCTCATCTCCCAGGAGGTTTGGATCCAGGATTGCAGTTTGGCCTACTGTAACAATGAATTATTTTCACGTCCTTCTGCTTCCAGTTCTTCCCACACACTTTGTCTCTAGGATCCCAAGTCTTTAACCTCTCCGTTGTTTGGCTCTTTCTATCAGCTGCTTGGCCTTTGCTCCCCCCTCTTGGCTCTAGCCAACCTCTCTTTTCTGTAGGTGCCCCTAAGATGTTTCACACTAGTGAGCACTATGATTTAGTCTGGTACAGTGGTTCTCCAAGCCAGTCTGCCACTTGTTCAGGGAAAGCCCCTGTCGGGCCAGGCCAGTTTGTTTGAACGCAACAGGTAAACAAACTGGCCCGGCCCGCCAGGGGCCTTCCCTGAACAAGCGGCGGACCGGCTTTGAGAATCACTGGTCTAGTACATATACTTTTCATGAAATAATGTCCTTCTTTAAACTCTCACTGACCTTTTAAGTCTTGGATAATTAAAACACAGGTGCATTTTAAAAGAGTGGTTCAGCACATCCAGCTGAACATAGCACAATCCACATAACACACAAACCGGGGGTAATCCGATGAAATTAATAAACAAACATAAGGAAGCACTTCTTTTCACAATGCAGTCAACCTGGGGAGCTTGTTTCCAGGGGATATTGTGAAGGCCAAAAGTATAACTGAGTTCAGAAAATAAATAGATCAGTTGATGGAGGATAGGTCCATCAATGGCTATTAACCAGGATGGTCAGGGATGCAACTTCATACTCTGAGGTGCCCCTAAACCTCTGACTGCTAGAACCTGGGACTGGATGACATGAGATGGATCATGTGATAATTACCCTGTTCTGTTCACTCCCTCAGAAACATCTGGCATTGGCCACTGTTGGAAGACAGGATTCTGGGCTAGATGGACCATTGGTCTGACACAATATGACCATTCTTATGTTCTACCAGTTAACCCACTTTACTGGTATCTCAGACAACTACATGGGCTCAGGGAAAATATTGACAGCTTTTAATTCAAATTGATCCCATTCAGAAACATCAGAGAACCATTCTCCATCATCTAACAATTTGGTAGTTGCACAGGACTTTATATGTGCTAATTATTCCACACACTGCCTGCAGAGATGTCATGTTCATTGCCTGGAATAAAACTCCAGATCTTCTGCGCCACACAAAAACACAAATCTCACCCTCTTGAGCTAAAGCATGTTCTTACAAATGGGCCTCTGGCCTGTTGGCTTTACTGTGATACAATAATAAATAAATAATTTTCCATTAACTATAGCAACATTAGGGCCTATAGAGTCTGTGACTCAGCCACTTGACAGCAGCAGATCTGACATCCTATACGCAAGAGATTGGTATACTTGTAACCGCACATACAAATATATTGCACTCACTCCATTAGTCCTATAGTTCAGGCTACATTCCAGATCTAATTTATAGGTATGTGTGTGGGACGTGTTTGAACAAATATTACTAAGTCTAAAGGTTCCCCCATGGGTTAATCGTATAGTCTGTATCTCCTATTATATTCTCAATGTTGTTATTTCTTTGTCAGGGCTCTACTTTCATCAGAACTTCTTCTCTTTTGTTGTCTTTGTGAGGGAAAGGGCTCACCACTTATAAGCGATACCATCACTTCTTCAGAAGCAAATGTCCACCTATTCCTGTGGTCTCCAAATGCTTACTGACTGTAGTGCAGGAGACTTACCCAGTCTTGGAAGTTTGCTCTCCGTTTGCCAAGGCTTTTTAAAGGATTGGAAACCAGTTTGGGTCAAGTAAGAACATGTCTGAACTTTCACCCAAGACAGCACACTCATTCTCTTCCCCAAAAAGTGATTATACATTGTGACCCCTCTCCCCCTCCCCCGCCCCAGCCCCCAGCCCCCAGCCCATTGATGCTAATGGGAGAGCTGTACAATATTTAATGGATCCAATCCTGTTCTCATTGAAATCAGTGGTGGTTTTGCTATTACTTTCAGGTAGGATTCTGAGTGCAGGATTGGGTTCATCATTGTTATTCATGAGTTGTATCTGCAAGTATTCAGTGTAATCTCGTTATAATGTAATTCAATAAGTTGTATGTTTCTACTGTTCATCAGTCATAAAGCTGGTAATTAGTCCTACAACTCTACAGCTATGACAATACCTAATAGTATTATCACAGAGAATGTATTGAGAATGTGTTTTGTATTTTCATTCTTGCAACTGAAAGGGAACAAATCGTTACTGTTTTTTTTTTAATTAAATGTATCTCTTGAATCCCACGCTAATTTAGGTTTTAGAAATTCCATCAATATCATGGCAAATAATAAATATGCAGATGCTTGGACTACATCAGTTTTAGTGCTGTGATAAAGAGGTCATTTAGTGGAATGCTCTTGTGTTTATATGTACTGTATTTCTTCACCAACACGAAATAGTTCAGTCATTTCATTCATTCTTCTGCAGGACAAAGTCACTGATGGTACAGTGCCCAACTGCAGTGAAACCTCTTTATAAAAATGATATTAATTCCCCTCCCACCAACCTGATTTCATGTCTTCAGGAACACTGTGTCAATTATAGACTAGACAAAAAAAAGCTGCTGTCAAGGAGCTTCCGAGGAGTGGAATTGCCATGCAGATCTAGTTACGCCATGTAAAATTAATCATTATATTTCTGCTGCAACCTTGTTTTTCTATTTGTGTCACACAGGGATTCTTAAATGACCTAATATTGAATCTAGTGAATTACAGGCTGGAGACCACAACGTTTGCTATGCCCTGACTGAGGATGGATAGATCTACAGGTTGCAGTTTTTCCTCATCTGCTTTGGAGTCTGTTTGCCTCCTGAGCCACCTCATTAATCATTCCTGGATTTCACCTTTCCGTAAATGGGAAGAACTTGTTAGTAGACTATTGTTTCTTTGCAGACTATATTTTTTAAATAGTTTAATATGTGATAAGCACAAAATCAAAGGGACATTGTGAAATCTTTCAGTTTGTAATGAAAAGTGACATTGGAGGTCCCAGTCTATACTCTGATTCTATCCCTATTAATCAATGCACTTTAAGCACATGGTTAACTTTACCCATGTGCTTAGGTCCTATTGACTTCAAAGTGACTTGAGTATGTTTTTGCAATAAAAGCGTGTGCTTAAGTGCTTTGCTGAATAAGGATGGACTTACACAAATACTTAAATGTTTTGCCAAACTGAGGCACTAGTGTTTTAAAAAATGAAAAGTAATCCTAAGAATTTGAATCAAACTTTTAAACTTAATACATTGCATATACTATTAAAGTTGATTTATTTGAGAACAAAGGGATTTCTAAGCACAGAGACAGAGGATTAGGAATTCCAGAGTTCAAACATGGGCTTTGACAGAGACGTTGTCTCTGTCCTTGGACACTTTTACTCAGTTTCCCCATCTGTAAAATGGCGCTAATAGTAACTCCCACCTCAGAAAGTGTCATCTGGTTTAACTTATCATGGTTTGTAAAGTGCTTTGAAGAAGAGTGTGATTATTTACACTTGATTAGTAATGCAGTTAAATGGAGTATCATTTTAAAAGAAGCTAAGAGTCCTGTGGCACCTTATAGACTAACAGATGTATTGGAGCATGAGCTTTCGTGGGTGAATGCATCCGAAGAAGTGGGTATTCACCCACGAAAGCTCATGCTTCAATACGTCTGTTAGTCTATAACAGGGGTCGGCAACATTCGGCACGCGGCTTGCCAGGGTAAGCGGCGTGTGCGAGCAATGTGCTGGCCATGGCTTCTCGCCGCCCCCATTGGCCTGGGACGGCGAACCGCGGCCAGTGGGAGCTGCGATCGGCCGAACCTGCCGCGTCAGCAGGTAAATAAAACTGGCCCGGCCCGCCAGGGTGCTTACCCTGGTGAGCTGCGTGCCGAACGTTGCCGACCCCTCGTCTATAAGGTGCCACAGGACTCTTTGTTTCTTGTACAGATCCAGACTAACACGGCTACCCCTTTGATTTTAAAAGAAGAATGTTCCCCATAGGTGAAATATTGGTAACTAAATATTACACATTTATTTAAACTTTTTCAGTTGTATTTCTCTCCCAAGGGCATGGATTTAGACAATGTGTTACAAAGAAGCTGCCCTATTAATGGAAATTTTTCCATGACAGTTTCCACGGTGTTGAAAAACCATCTTCCACTGAAAAAAATGTTTTCATGGAAGGTTTTTCGCCAGCTCTAACAAACATTGATTTATACAGCTTCACAACTAGTCCATTATGTAAAGGCACAGAGAAGATGAGACTGAATGTTTCAAATGGGAATACCTAAAGTTTGGGAAACAGATTTAGCACCTTAACTTTAGGCACCCTCGTGTGCAAATTCTGGCCTAAAGTCCAGAAACTTTAGGTGCCTAACTCCGATTGAAATGTATGGACGTTAGATGCCTAAATACCTTTGAGGATCTGGGCCCAAAAGACTTGCCTGTGCCCAAGTTTACATAGTTAGCCACCTGCAGAGTCCTAAATAGAAGCCAGGTTTCCTGATTCCCAGACCTTTACCCATTGCAAGTTTCGTTTTAGCCTGCTAGGTCCCTTTGTCAAACTATTCCCCAAGATCCAGGTAATGGCATGGAGAAAATGCTGTGCTTTCTGTTCAGTGATGATCAGGGCTTCTAATATGAGATTCTTAAATATGGTATCTACCTGGATGGTTGCTGATGAGTTAAGTGTTTTCATTTGGGAACCTTGATCTTAGTAGTCGTAAATCGTGAGCCTGGTCTGTCCTATAGGAGTATAGTTTTCTATGTTTATAGGTATCCTTTTGAGGATGAAATTGCTGATGTCATAGTCTAGAATTTGGTAAATGAACTCTCTTTGGGCTAAGGTGGGAACTCAGTGAAGTATTGTTCTGATCCTGATCCTCCTGTGAGTGGGGAGGGACCTTCAACTCTTGTCTAAGTCAATGGGAATTGAGGGTGTTTGGGAGCTCTCAGGTCATATGGAGCATCTTGGAGGATCAGACCATAAATAGAAAGAGGGCATTTTTGGCTCTCAAAGGTATACAAAGGGTTTATGTTCACCCTTTTACCTTTCAACAAAGAAACAGATATTTCCTTCAAAGAGACAAATCAGCTCATATCCCAGGTAATTATCATTAGTATAAGTTGGAATATGCCCTTTTATGTTTACACTTTACCACCAGCCGTGATATTGGGCAGACTCTGAATGCAGGTGGAATTAAATAACATGCATAGAAAATGAGGTAGGGACTGGGAGACAAGAAAAAAATCTTTTCAATCTTGACCTTTTGACAACGTTGGCTATGATTTCACTAACCTAGTGACGCGCATTTTGAAATGATTTCAAAGAGCCTGGTATACTGGATGGCTGGGGGATTAGTAATGGAAAAGGGATCCTCACTGGGTCAAATATAGCCCAGGTCAGTAGTGTCAGAACATCATAACCATTTGAAATGCATTTCTTGGTCTCTGTCCCATTCTTAAGAGCTGATCCAATGAAGTCAATGTCAGCCTTTCCACTGACTTCAGTAGTCACCAGATCATGTTCTTAGGGCTCAAAATTCACTACACATCACAAATTTCGCTACAACCATTTTCTCCCTTGGGGACAGTCTCAGCAGAAACTAGCTGCTCATGGAATCTGAACTATTCTCTTGTCCTTTGAGTTGGTTCCTCCAGGAAAGGACTGTGGGCCTAATCTGCAGATCTTACTCATACAACACTGCCTCTAACTAAGTGGTATAGATGTTTTCTGTGGCAGACAAAACACTGATGAGGTGTGAAGAGGATTGCACTGCCATTGTCTATGCCAGACATCTCCCTTGGATAGACAGACAACTTCATTCTCCTTTCCGACAGCGTGGCATTCATTTCAAAGAAACATTCCAAAGACACTTCATAATCCATGTGTGCAGTTCAATATCCATTGTGATGGACTTTTTAATTACCTTATTATGAGTTTTGGCAGATATGTCTATGTAATAATCAATTGTTGTCTCTCCTGACCACCCACCGCACACATATACACTTAATATTAGAACTGCCCAGAGAGAAAGTTAATGGCTCTCTGTTAGACAGCAAATAAAAAAATGTATTAGTCAACTATCCACTGTAAAATATTATCTCCCTGCAGGCATATTCCACTATTGATTCACCTCAAGGGAAGTATTTCTGATGCATCTACCATAAAACAAGTAAATTGCTCTGTAATTGCAAGGGTTGCAAATTAACATGAAGTGGCCATGGCAGGGTTCTGGTCCTTCAGCAGCATCCCCTTGGGTTCTGATGGTTTTGTATACTCACTCCGGGTCCAGTCGCTCATGTGGGGTGTTTAGTAGCACTCTGAAGGGGAAAGAGTCTCAGCTGTCCAGCTGAGTTTCTCTGGATGCTCATCCCTTCTGGGGTTTTAATGGAACTAACATCTTATGAGCAAGATAATAAATGAAGGAAAAGGAAATAATCAGCCAATCCCTACTGGGCCACTGACCTCTCTTCCTTCAGATGGGCCTGCAGTGGGCCACAGTCTGGTTTAAAGTCCACTGGTTCACCAGCAGAAGGAACAGGATACAGCCCTCTTCACCTCAAGGTGACATGTGCCTCTTTTAGGCCAGGGATTAGGCTCTGCCCTCTGCCAGCCTCTTCCAGGGAGCCGGAAAGTTCAGTATCCTGCTCACCTCCCAGAACAGCCTGCTACTGAACTGAGCTTTCTCACTCTTGAACCCCATCTCCGTTCTTATCATGACTTACAGGTGTGACGAGGCAGGGCCACTCCAGCCCAGAGCAACTCCTTAACCCATTCCTGATTGTTGCTGGGTTTATACATCATATCACAGGTAGTGATTAAAAACAGAATTCTGTGGAACACATATGGGCATTTGGGTTCCGATGTCCAACCACTGTTACACAAGGGAAAGGCATAGAGATGACTTCCACTGCAATTGTATTTTTGACAGTTGGCACATCAGGTGGCATGGAAGTGCCAGCTTTGAGCTGATCACAGTATCTTTCTTTCATGAGCTTTTTTCATGCGGTGAATATTTGTGTTTGCAAAGGCTAAGGAACTGGCAATAATGAGAAACCAAATTTTCTGTTGACTCAGGGGCTTCACTTTTCAGTACTGACAGTTCCTTTCTGATATACACAGCCTCAGTGAATACCCATCTGCACTGCCCTAGAGATGACCTTGAGGAACTCCTTGTAGAGGGTGTTTTGTTTACAGAAAGGAGACAGTTCAGTTTCCATCATGTCTCTGAAAGACGAACGTGAATCACACCAATTTTATAGAACTATTCAAGGTGACATATGAGGCAATCTTCTGTCTAGTAAGGATTGAGACCACATGATCTATTTGACTAAGGACTCTGTCTAGACTGGAATTCTGTCCAAGAGATGGCTGCTTAGTTTCCTCCACTTAGTAGCTCATCTCTAGTTTGTACAGAGCTTTGGAATATTTTAATTCTATTTTTATCTTGCACACTGGTATTGTTAAAGCACAAGGAGTTGTAACTCCTGTTACTGCACATTCCAAGGGATTGGGGATGGCTTGACTTCTATATTTCTTGGAAACTGTAGGAATTTAGAAAGAAATGGAGCAGTTTCTTCCCTCTCTGTGGGATGGAAGGGTTTCTTTTGAAATGCTTTAGTCTCTAACTCTTTCAGTGTTTTTTTTTTTTTTGAGTAGGTTGCTTTACTGATCTTCAAGTCCCCCCTTTCCCCCCAGATGGGATGTGTCTGTGGCCTATATATTGCAGCTGTACGAATAATACATAGGTACCCGCTCAGACAAGTCAAACTTCATGAATAGGATTGGAATAATTAACCTATCTGCATAGATTTGATCTTTGAACATGCTAATGTGGACAGGCTGCTCTTTTTAGATCCCTCAGACGGGAAGTCATATGTTCTTTCTCGCGAGGAAGTTTGCTGAAGTAAATATGGCAGCAAGTGTCTTTTTAATAAGTGATTTTTGTCCCCTGGATTTTTCATATCAACAATTCTATTTTGCCATACTCTGAAGAAACCTTTATTATCCTTCATGTCCCACCAGGCTCTGAAGACTTTGCAAGTGCCTGAAGCACTGGTAATGTAAGCTTAAAGCTCACAATTAGAACACTGCTTATCCCTTTCTGCATCAGTGTCTGTGCTCAAGGTGGCTAAGTTCAGGGTTGGTAACAGGGGAGTTATATATCAATTTAGCCTTTAGTATTCTGTGTCTAGCAAAAGCAATAACCTGAACAAACTTCCTCTTCAACTCTATAATTCTGAACCCACCCGTAGACACAAAATCTTGCACTTTCTTAATTAATATAGCTTCATAAACCTAGGGAGATTTCTTTGGGCTTAATGTAGGGATGAAACAGGGAAGTTAAAATCCAAGGTTCTGCTTCAGCATGCTAGGGAAATTAAAGTTTGTTTACATCCTGAGTCAAACATTGGCATTATCTTTTCATTTTGAGCTGTTTTTCATTCTCCACAAAGTTGAAAATATCCAGGCAGATTAGACTGGAGAGGCAGCTAGCTGGGAGATGCTAGGTCACCCTGTATTTCTCAAGCAGCCAATGAAAATGTTTCTTTATTGGAAGCACAGCAGCTCCAAAAATTCCCACTGATATGCACACAAGAATCAGGCTGGATGGAGATGATTTGCAGGAATTGTGCAGCATCCTAAAATTGATAGGTTTTGGTAGCATTTTGACCAAATACCAAAATGCACCATATACTGTAAATTGATCATACAGTGTAGATTAAATAAATATGCCTTACCAGTGCCTTGGTGGCAGGGATTGTGTGCTGAGGGTTTGGCGAGTCCAAGAATAAGAATAATTTCTTGGATTTCACTTCCCAGGCTCATGGTTTAGGCATAGATTCAGTGCTGAATAAGAGCGAGGGTTTGCATTCAGATTTGAGCTTTTTCTCATAAAATTTCATTCCCAGATGGATGAAATCTTGCAAAATCAGCCAATCTCTTGAGTTATAGCTGTAAAATCAGCTGCCATTTGAAAGGTTTTGGACACACATGAAAATAAATCTCCTCTCAGATTTATAATTTATCCAGAACCAAAACTCTGTGGCTGGGTGCAATCCTAGGATTTGACTCCAAAGCATGTCAGAATTTGAAGGGGTTCACATACATGTTGCTGCTTTGGCCTATCTCATTGCAAGGGTAACACTTGCAAGTTGGTTGACTGGATGTCACAATGGCGTTGTGACAGGGCACTACCTGGAGAACCCTGATCAATGAGGTTGGTGCTGCCCTGGGAAGGTTGCAGGCTTAATTGAAGTTAATTCGCCAGTTTCTGTTGGGGTTTACTGACACTTGGGTGGCAGTTGCTGGGCTAATTAGTTAATTGGCTCAGTAATTGGGAGGATATATTTGGGAGGAACGAGGAAGTAAGGGTGGGGGTTCAGAGAGTGGGCTGGGAAGAGGAGAGAAAATTGTGTGGAAATCGCCTTCTGCTGTATAGCTGTGGTTCCCTCTGTAACAGCTTTGTAATGGAAGATTAAAGCATACATGGTGAAAGGGAAACAACCTATACATGTCTGTGGCTAGGACACCATGTGAATGTGCTAGGCAGTGCTATTCACAGGGTAGGTGAAGGAATCAATGTTGATCTTGAAGAAGGCTGGCAACACCATGAGCATTTATGGAAAATGAAGCACTAAGTGGTTAAAATCCTCACCCTGTAATAGGCCAGGTGTCCTCAACTCTTGCTGAATCCCAGCATCTTGTAGGAGCAGCTGTAAGTCTTGCCCAAAGTCGCACAGAAAGTCTGTAGCAGAATCAAGAATAGAACTCAGGACTCCTGGCCCATGCTTTTAACTACAAAGTCATTGTCCCTCATTACAGAAAAGAACAGTGCTGTAGCCTCAGCAACAGAACACCACGTGGTAACTTCTTGTTGTTCTCCAGTCTATCACCCCTGCTAAATGCCTCCCAGGGGCACTCACAAAATCTTAATGGGCTTTACCAAATGAATTAAGAGGCTTTATAGCTTTTACCTAAGACTCAGAATGGGTTACAAGTAGAGCCGAGTGAAATTTGTTGCCTCATCTTTCAGTGAAAAATGCAGATTCTGTGAGATTTCGTGAATTTGTGTCAGCTTTGCCACATTGTTCATTTCAGGGGGGAAAAGCCCCAACCAAAATTAAAAAAATATTAAAACATTTTGTTTTGAAAATGCCAAAACAAAATGTTTCAATTTTTCCATATTGAATGACTTTGTGTGTCAAAGTTTTCTTTCATACGATTTCAAGAATTCAAAAGCATTTAAAAGTGGTCCAAATCAAAACATTTTGTTTGACCCGAAACAATTTTTTCCCTGACATCTCAAAAACGCTGTTATTTGCCTTGCTGTAGTTCCAGGATGAATCTGCTGAGCCCTGCTCTTCCCTCCCCATAGGAAGGAGGGCCCACAATCATTCGAAAGACACATGAGCTCATTTGGCTACCCCTCGATGGTAGCAATACAAGGATCTGTGATGCTTATGAGACTTCAGGTCTGTAAAGTTTCTTTTTCCATTTCCAATTTCTCAATCCAATTGAGATTGTTAGTTGGGTAAACTTTTAGCTTGTGCTTTGTATTCTCCTGAGAGAAGGCAGATCTCCTTTGGATCTGCCAGCTATACTAATCCAGATCTGTCTGCACCTTTGCTTATTGAATATTATCTTTTTTTCCCCTTGCCTCTTCTTTCTAGTGAGGGGATGGAGTCAGAGCACTAATTAGACTCTGGTGCCAATTTACTGATGCACCACTGCCTGTGCACCCCAGGAGAGAGGGATTAACAGCATTTTGAACCTCTTAGCGAGAGTTACTAACCTATAATATTTGTAGTAATTCTGTCACCAATAAAAAGAAGAACAGGAGGACTTGTGGCACCTTAGAGACTAACAAATTTATTAGAGCATAAGCTTTCGTGGACTACAGCCCACTTCTTCGGATGCATAGATGAAACAGGGAAGTTAAAATCCAAGGTTCTGCTTCAGCATGCTAGGGAAATTAAAGTTTGTTTACATCCTGAGTCAAACATTGGCATTATCT